TGCGTAGAGCCCCATTATTGCGTTATAGAGCACCATTATTGCATGATAGAACCCTATTATCCATGATAGAGCTCCATTATTGCGTCATAGAACCCCCTGATTTGCCTCATAGAGCCTCATTATAACCTCATCGAGTCCCATTATTGCCTCATAGCGCCCTAATATTACCTCATAGAGCCCATTATTTACTCATAGAGCCGCATTATTGCCTCATAGACCCCTATTATTGCCTCATAGATCCCCAATATGGCTTTCTAGAGCCCCATTATTACCTCGTAGAGCCCCATTATTGTGTAATAGAGCACCATTATTGCATGATAGAGCCCTATTATTGCGTCACAGAGCTCCATTATTGCGTCATAGAACCCCCAATAATTGCCTCATAGAGCCCCATTATTGCACTATAGAGCACCATTATAACCTCGTAGAGCCCCATTATTGTCTCATAGAGCCCTACTATTGTCTCATAGAGCCCCATTATTGCCTCACAGAGCCCCGTTATTGTTCCATAGAGCCCCTTAATAGCCTCATAGACCCCATTAATGCCTCATAGAGCCCCATTATATCCTCATAAAGCCCCATTATTGCCTGATATAGCCCCATTATTGCCTCATAGACCCCCATTATTCCCTCATAGAGCCCCATTGCTCCCTCATAGAGCCTCATTGTAACCCCATAGAGCCCCATTATAGCGTCATAGACCGCATTATAGCCATCATAGAGCTCCGGTTTTGCATCATAGAGCCTTATTATTACCTCGTACAGCCTCATTATTGGGTTATAGAGCCCCATTATTGCTTCATAGAGTTCCATTATTGCATCAAAGAGCCCCATTATTGCCTCGTAAACCCTATTATAGCCTCATAGACCCCATTATAGCCTCATAGAGCCCCATTATTGCCTCACAGGGCCCCATTATTGCCCCATAGAGCCCAATTATTGCATCACAGAGCCCTATTATTGCCTCATAGATCCCCATTATTGCGTCATAGAGCTCCGTTATTGTGTCATAGAACCCCCATTATTGCTTCTTAGAGCCCCATTATAACCTCATAGATCTCATGATTGCATCACAGAGCCCCATTATTGCCTCATAGAGCCCTATTATCTCCTCAGAGAGCCCCTTTATAACCACGTAGGCCAAAAACAACCCAAAACACCCCAAAACCAGCCCAAACCCACCTTGTCTTGCTTCTGCTATGGGATACAGGGTCAGAGGCCCAAATTAAACCCCAAACCAACCCAAAACACCCCAAAAAACGCCAAAAACCACCTTGTCCTGCTTCTGCTATGAGATACAGGGTCAGAGCCCCAAAACAGACCCATAACCACCTTATCCTGCTTCGCCTGTGGGATACAGGGTCAGAGCCTCAAAATAGCCCCAAAACTGGCCAAAACCAGGTGAAAACCAGGCCTAAAACCCCCAAGTAAACCCCAAAACCGGCCAAAACCACCCCAAAATCTCGTCCTGCTTCTTCTGTGGGATATAGGGTCAGAGCCCCAGAACGGGCCAAAACCAGGCCAAAAACATTCCAAAACCCCCAAAACAGGCCCAAAACACCTCAAAACCACAATGTCCTGCTTCTCCTATGGGATACAGGGTCAGGGCCCCAAAACAGACCCAAAACCGGCCAAACACAACCCCCAAAACACCTGAAAAAACAGCCCAAAACCGCCTCCTCCTGCTTCTGCTATTGGATAGAAGGTCAGAGCCCCAGAACAGCCCCAAAACACCCAAAAAACAGGACAAAACCAGCCCAGAATCACCTTGTCCTGCTTTTCCTGTGGGATACAGGGTCAGAGCCCCAAAACAGACCCAAAACAGGCCAAAAACACACCCCAAATCACACAAAAACACCCCTAAAACGGCCCAAACCTACCCCAAAACCACCTTCTCCTGCTTCTGCTATATGATACAGGGTCAGAGCCCCAAAACAGCCCCAAAACATGCCAAAAACAGTCAAAAACCCCCAAAACAGCCCCAAAACACCCCAAGCCACGTTGTCCTGCTTCTGCTATGGCATACAGGGTCAGAGCCGCAAAACAAATCCAAAACAGCTCCAAAACAGACCAAAAACAGGTGAAAAACAGGCCAAAACACCCAAAGCAAACCGGAAACTGACCAAAACCACCCCAAAAAACCTCGTACTGCTTTTCCTATGGGACACATTTCAGAGCCCCAAAACAGACGAAAAACAGGCCAGAAACAACCCAAAACCCAGCCCAAAACCACCTTGCCCTGCTTCTCCTATGGGATACAAGGTCAGAGCCGCAAAACAGATCCAAAACAGCCCCAAAACAGAACAAAACCAGGCGAAAAACAGGCCAAAACACCCAAAGCAAACCGGAAACTGACCAAAACCACCCCAAAGTAACCTTGTCATGCTTCTCCTATGGGACACAGGTCAGAGCCCCAAAACAGACCAAAAACAGAACAAAACAACCCCAAAACCACCTTGTCCTGCTTCTCCTATGGGATACAGGATCAGAGCCCCCAAACACCCCAAAACCAGCCCCAAAACATCCCAAAAGCAGCCCAAAACCACCTTGTCCTGCTTCTCCTGTGGGATACAGCGTCAGAGCCCCAAAACAGACCCAACACAGTACAAAAACACCCCAAAACACACCCAAACCACCCCAAAACCACCTTGCCCTGCTTCTCCTATGGGATACAGGGTCAGACTCTGAGAACAGAACCAAAACAGGCCAAAACCAGGCCAAAACCAAATAAAACACGCACAAAACAGTCCCAAAACAACACAAACCCAGCCCAAAACCACCTTGTCCAGCTTCTCCTTTGGGATACAGGGTCAGAGCCTAAAAAAAGACGCAAAACAGGCCAAAAGCAACACAGAACACCCCAAAACCCACCCCAAAAAAAACCTTGTTCTGCTTCTCCTATAGGATACATGGTCAGAGACCCAAAACAGACCAAAAACAGCCCCAAAACAGGCCAAAAACAGGTGAAAACCAGCCCAAAACACTCAAAGCAAAGCCCAAAACAGGCCAAAACCACCCCAAAATCACCTTGTCCTGCTTCTCCTGTGGGATACAGGGTCAGAGCCCCAAAACAGACCCAAAAGAGGCCAAAAACATCCCAGAACACCCCAAAACCCACCCCAAAAATAACCTTGTCCTGCTTCTCCTATGAGATACAGGGTCAGAGCCCCAAAGCACCTTCAAAACAGGAGAAAACCCACCCCAAAACCACCTTGTCCTGCTTCTCCTGTGGGATACAGTGTCAGAGCCCCCAAACAGACCCAAAACTGGCCAAAAACAACCTAAAACACCCCCAAAACAGCCCCAAACCATCTTGTCCTGCTTCTCCTAAGGGACAGGGGGTCAGAGCCCCAAAAGAGCCTTAAAACAGCCGAAAACCACCCCAAAACCCCGAAAACTACCCCCAAACCACCTTGTCCTGCTTCTCCTATGGGTGGCACCCAGTGAGCACCCAAAACAGCCCCAAATCACCCCAACCCCCCCCCAAAATGGAACCTCCTGGAGGTCGCTGTGGAGCTGCTTTAGCCTGGCCTCGAGCTGCGACAACTTCTGGGGTAGGTCCAAGGCTGGGAGGGAGCTGGGGGGGGAGGGGCTATGGGAGGGGGGGAATGGGGTGTCCGCATATTGGGGGGGGATCCCAGACCCACATGTGGGGGTCCCAGCTCCACATACAAGGGGGACAGGGGGGATCTCCATATGGGGGGGTCCCTGTACCTGATGGGGGGGGGGGGGCAGCGGCCTCTCCAGGGGTGGGGGCTCAGCACTGGCTCCTTGAGGGAGAGCAGGGACACGGCCCTTTGCACTGGGGGGGTGGCACGTCAGCACCCCAAAACCAGCCCAAACCAGCCTAAAATACCCCAAAACCAGACCAAAACAACCGTAATACACCAAAACCAGTCCAAAACAACCAAAGTACCCAAAAAACAGCCCAAACCAGCCCAAAATACCCCCAAAGCCAGCCCCAAATCCCCCAAACCACCCCAAAACAGCCAAAATACCCCCAAACCAGCCCAAAATACCACAAAACCAGCTCAAAACACCCAAAAATACCCCCAAAATAGCCCAAGACAGCCAAAATACCCCAAAGCCAGCCCAAAACACCCCCAAATACCCCAAAACCAGCCCAAAACAGCGCAAAACACTCCGAAGCACCCCTACAACACCCCGAAACACCTCCAAACCAGCCCAAAATACCTGCAAAACACCCCAAAACACCCCAAAACACCCCAAAACATCTCAAAGCACCCACAAAGCAAACATCCCAAACCCAACCCAAAACCACCCCAAAACACCCCCGAAACAGCTCAAAATACCCCCAAAACAGCCCAACCCCGCTCCACAACAGGTTCACACCCCCAAAACACCCTGAAACACCCCCAAACTCCTTCAAAACACCATGAATCACCCAAAAACACCCCTAAAAGAACCCAAACCACCCAAAGCAGCCCAAAGCACCCTGAAAACCAGGCCAAAACAGCCCCTAAACTGATGAAAGAACCTGTTTGTAATAGATCTGGGTTTGGACCCTATGAGGGTTTCAATGACTCTGTGCTGCTCTTGACAATGGGGTTTCAGCATTACAGATGGGAAACTGATAGGAGATGGGATCTACATGCATGCTGTGAGGCTCCGGGGGGGGGGAATTGTAAACTGTAAATCAAAACCACGGTTAATTGCAAGCTGTAGATTGGGAGCTCTCTGTTGAGAGCAAGATGGAGCTGGTTCTTCAAGGCAATGCAGTGCAGTCCCTCTCCAGAATCCTTGTAACCCCCTTCAGGCACTGGAAGCTGCTCGGAGGTCTCTTCTCCAGCCCCAGTGTTCTCAGCCTGGCTCTCAGCAGCTTCCTTCAAGGGGCTTCCATCACCTGCAGCAGCTCTCCTGATGTAGCACCCTCCATGGCCACAACAGACCCATGGGGCCTGATGCCCACCCCACAGCTCTGCCACTCCCCCGGCCCCACAGCTTCCACGTCCTCGCATGAGGGTACTGCTTCACCTCAATCCCAGGCATCTCCATCACTCCCAACATTCCCACTGCCCCCAAGAGCCCTGAGACCCTCAAAGCATCCCATAACCCATCTGGTAATCAGAAACCCACCCCGCCCGAGCCGTCTCCATCCATCCCAGTGGCGCTAAGCCACCCCAAAACTACATGGTATCCCAAACCCCAACCAACCCCAGGCATCTCCATCCCTTCCAATCCCCTAAATGGTACCCCTAAACCATTCCAAAATCCACTTTGTACCCCAAATCCAAACAACACAAGGCATCTCCAACCTAGATGGGAAACTAATAGCAGATGAGACTTATGGAATCAACATGTATCCATTCATCCATTCATCCATCATCCATCACCCATCCATCCATCCATCCATCCATCCATCCATCCATCATTCATCTTCCATCATTCATCATCCTTTCATTCATCCATCATCCATCCATCCATCACCCATCTTCCATTCATCATCCATCCTTCCATCATCAATCATCCATCCATCACCAGTCTATCATCCATCCATCCATTCATCCATCCATCCATCCATCCATCCATCCATCCATCCATCCATCCATCCATTCATCCATCATTTGTCTTCCATCCATACATTCATCCATCCATCCATCATACATTCATCCATTCATCCGTCCATCCATCCATCCATCCATCCATCCATCCATCCATCCATCCATCCATTCATCTTCAATCATCGATCCATCAACAATTCAGCATCCATCCATCATCCATCTTCCATCCATCATCCATCCATCCATCCATCATCCATCATCTATCCATCCATCCATCATCCATCCATGCATCTTCCATCCCTCTATCCATCCATCCATCCATCCATCCATCCATCCATCCATCCCTGGTCCACCCCTGGTCCATGGCTCCCCCTGCTCCCCCTACAGAAGACTCCCCCGGGTGATTTCCCCCATGAGCCATCCCATCGCACAGAGGAAAGAATCCTTTAATGTGAGACTATGTTGGGAAAGGGACCTTGCATGCAGGTAAGAGTCATTCCCATTGGACGTGCAGGGGTATGGGAACAAGGCACTGGAATGTGTTGCCCATCAAGGTTGTGAATGCTCCATCCCTGTCAGTGTTGAAGGCCAGGTTGGATGGAGCCTTGGGTGACACGGTTTAGTGTGAGGTGTCCCTGCCCATGGCAGGGGGTTGGAACTGAGTGAGGGCCCCATCTTCTCTGCAGCTTCTGATAGTGGCTGACAGCGGGCCACCAAGTGCCCCGTGCTTATGGGGCTGCTCTGCTCCCCTAGCACCATGGATGCAGGTGGCTTCCTGCATGCAAGCCCATGGCTGCCCTCCCATCAGATGAAGCCTGCGAGCGAGCGCTGCAGGTACGTGCTGAGGCAAAGGGGCAGCCCCGTCGGTCAGCCCCCAAGGAGCTGAGCCTAACTCTGCTGCATCCCCATCCCTGCATGCTGCAGCTGCTCCCCCATTAACAGTGTCCATCAAAGAATGGGGCTTCCCATGGCAAAGGGGCTGGAGGCTCCTCCGCTGCCAAGGTCCACCTGGAAATGCACAAGAGCGAGCTCTGGGGCTGCTTGCAGGGATGGATCCATCAAAGCACAGGAAATGCAGGAAGATGCTCAACCTCTCCTGCTCACATTCCCGCTTCAGGGCAACGCAGCTCCCAACGCTGCCTTGCTGTGACATCACCCATCACGTATGACGTCACAAAGCACCGGCGCTTACGTAACGCAGCCGGGTGGGTCTGGGTCAGGAGGGAAGAGCTCTGCGAGCGGTTGGGTGTCATGTCCATTTGATGTCATTTGGTGCCGTACGGTGCCGTACTGTTGTGTACCATACCGTGCCCTACCGTGCTGCGCCATTCCATACCCTGCCCTAACGTTTCGTGCCGTGCCGTACCATTCCGTGCCGTACCGTACCATGTAATTTCATTTCATTTCATTTCATTTCATTTCATGTCCATTTGATGTCATTTTGTGCCATACAGTGCCGTTCTGTACCGTACTGTGCCGTACCGTGCTGCGCCATACCGTACCATGCCCTACCGTTTTGTATCGTGTCGTGCCGTTCCGTACTGTACCGTACCATATAATTTAATTATATGTAATTTCCTTTCCTTTCCATTTGATGTCATTTTGTGCCTCACGGTGCCGTACCGTTGCGTACCGTACTGTGCTGTTCAGTGCCGCGCGATACCGTACCCTGCCCTACTGTTTTGTACCGTGCCGTACCGTTCCGTGCCGTACCATACCATGTTATTTCATTTCATTTCATTTCATTTCATTTCATTTCCATTTCATGTCATTTTGTGCCATACGGTGCCGTACCGTTGCGTACTGTACTGTGCCGTACCGTGCCGTGCCATACCGTACCATGCCCTACCGTTTCGTACCATGTCGTACCGTTCCGTACTGTACCGTACCATATAATTTAATTATATGTAATTTCCTTTCCTTTCCTTTCCATTTGATGTCATTTTGTGCCGTACGGTGCAGTACTGTTGCGTAGTGTACTGTGCCGTTTCGTGCCGCGCGATACAGTACCATGCCCTATTGTTTCGTACTGTGCCGTAACGTTCCGTGCCGTACCGTACCATGTCATTTCATTTCATTTCATTTCATTTCATGCCGTACCGTTGCGTACTGTACTGTGCCGTACCGTGCCGTGCGATACTGTCCCATGCCCTACCGTTTCATACCATGCGGTACCGTTCCATACCGTACCGTACCATACCATATAATTTAATTATATGTAATTTCATTTCATTTCATTTCATTTCATGTCCATTTGATGTCATTTTGTGCCGTATGGTGCCATAACGTTGCGTGCGATACCGTACCATGTAATTTCATTTCATTTCATTTCATTTCATTTCATGTCCATTTGATTTCTTTTTGCGCCATACCGTGCCGTACCGTTGCGTACCAGACCATGCTCTACCGTGCCACGCGATACCGTACCATGCCCTACCGTTTCGTACCGTGCCGTGCCGTACTGTACCATGTCCTTTCCTTTCCTTTCATTTCATTTCATTTCATTTCATTTCATTTCATTTTGTGCCGTACCGTTCTGTAGTGTACTGTGCCGTACCGTGCCGCGCGATACCGTAACATGCCCTACCATTTCGTACCATGCCATACCGTTCCGTACAGTACCGTACCATATAATTTAATTATATGTAATTTCATTTCCTTTCCTCTCCTCTCCTTTCATTTCATTTCCTTTCATTTCATTTCCATTTGATGCCATTTTGTGTTGTACGGTGCCGTACCGTTACGTACCGTACCGTGCCCTACTGTGCCGCACCATTCCGTACCCTGCCCTACCGTTTCATACCTTGCCGTACCGTTCCGTGCCGTACTGTACCATGACATTTCATTTCATTTCATTTCATTTCATTTCATTTCATTTCATTTCATGTCCATTTGATGTCATTTTGTGCCATACAGTGCCGTTCTGTACCGTCCTGTGCCGTTCTGTGCCGCGCCATACCGTACCATGCCCTACAGTTTTGTATCGTGTCGTGCCGTTCCGTACTGTACCGTTCCATATAATTTAATTATACGTAATTTCCTTTCCTTTCCTTTCCTTTCATTTCCATTTGATGTCATTTTGTGCCGTACGGTGCCGTACCGTTGCATACCGTACTGTGCTGTTCAGTGCCACGCGACACCGTACCCTGCCCTACTGTTTTGTACCGTGCCGTACCGTTCCGTGCTGTACCGTACCATGTCATTTCATTTCATTTCATTTCATTTCATTTCATTTCATGTCCATTTGATGTCATTTTGTGCCATACAGTGCCGTTCTGTACCGTACTGTGCCGTACCGTGCTGCGCCATACCGTACCATGCCCTACCGTTTTGTATCGTGCTACATGGTGCTATACGGTGCCGAACCGTTCCGTGCCGTACTGTACCATGTAATTTCATTTCATTTCATGTCCATTTGATTTCTTTTTGTGCCATACCGTGCCGTACCGTTGTGTACCAGACCATGCTCTACCGTGCCGCGCGATACCGTACCATGCCCTACCGTTTCGTGCCGTACCGTACCATGTAATTTCCTTTCATTTCATTTCCTTTCATTTCCTTTCATTTCATTTCATTGTCCATTTGATGTCATTTTTTGCCGTACCGTTCCGTAGTGTACTGTGCCGTACCGTGCCGCGCGATACTGTACCATGCCCTACCATTTCGTACCATGCCATACCGTTCCGTACGGTACTGTACCATATAATTTAATTATATGTAATTTCATTTCCTTTCCTCTCATTTCATTTCATTTCCATTTGATGCCATTTTGTGTTGTACGGTGCCGTACCGTTACGTACCGTACCGTGCCCTACTGTGCCGCACCATTCCATACCCTGCCCTACCGTTTCATACCTTGCCGTACCGTTCTGTGCCGTACTGTACCATGACATTTCATTTCATTTCATTTCATTTCCATTTGTTGTCATTTTGTGCCATACAGTGCCATAACGTACCGTACTGTACTGTGCCGTACCGTGCCGTGCCATACCGCACCATGCCCTACCGTTTTGTACCGTGACGTACCGTTCCGTACCGTACCGTACCATATAATTTAATTATATAAAATTTCATTTGATTTCATTTCATTTCATTTCATGTCCATTTGATGTCATTTTGTGCCGTACGGTGCAGTGCCGTTGCATAGTGTACTGTGCCGTTCCGTGCCGCGCGATACCGTACCATGCCCTACTGTTTCGTACTGTGCTATACCATTCCGTGCCGTACCGTACCATGTCATTTCATTTCATTTCATTTCATGCCGTACCGTTGCGTACTGTACTGTGCCGTACCGTGCCGCGCGATACCGTACCATGCCCTACCGTTTCATACCATGCTGTACCGTTCCGTGCCGTACCATACCATAAAATTTAATTATATGTAATTTCATTTCATTTCATTTCATGTCCATTTGATGTCATTTTGTGCCGTACGGTGCCGTACTGTTCCGTGCCATACCGTACCATTTCATTTCATTTCTTTTTGTGCCATACCGTGCCGTACCATTGCGT